ATCTCAAAATAATAATTTTTTTAGCCCACGATGAGCCGCCAACTTGGATCACTCCATCGATCAAATTCCCATCCAACCAACCTTACCTCTTCAATCCCAATAATACCACTTTTTGCTTTTCCGCCACCCGATTTTCCATCTAGCAATGTAACATCAGGCATGAATTCCGACACTAACTCACAAATTTCAGTTTTATACTCCATCTCACAGCTAAATAACCCGAATATTGAAACCCCCGATGAATTTGCCGACTCAGAACCATCTCCATCCAATAATTTTCATAACCCCTCTCATTTTTCTCAACCTCCTTTTCAACCCATATTGTCAAATAACCCTGACCCAATCACTCCTACACCCTCTTATGCTTCCCAAGTTACCCCAACCTACTCCTCATACCATTCTGACCAATCATCTCCAGACACCCCCCGAATCTCCCCAGAGCTAGATAATTTTATTACCCTTCAACAACAACCCTACCACCTTAACACCCCGACCCTAAACCAAATCTCCTCCACTACAAATTCATCCAATCCCCCTACACCCTCTTCAAATTATACTGAATCATTAGCACCATCATCCACATCAACTGAATCCTCACTCAACACTAATAGAGCTTACCGCACTTTTAAAAGAAAATTCCCCAACCATCCTTTCCCAGCAAAACCAGGAACAGCCCGTGAATACATCAACCACCCCCAGCATACTAACACTAGAGAATTTTTAGCTATCACTTTACCCTCATTTCCACAATACACCTTAAACACCCCTCATGACGCTAACGAAACACGCAACTTTGTAGACGAATACGTTTTAATGCCCACTCTCTCTTGGACCTCATATTACCATTTCACTAACCCTCTTTGCTTACCTTTAACCAACACTTCCATCGATATAGACCGAAACAAAGACATGCTATATCGACTAACTACACCACTCACCGCTAGACAGTTTACTTACGTTGGATATAAAAAATCACTAAAAATACACACTGCACCTAGAGCTAATGAATATACACTAGAATACTACGATCACAACATCATCAGAGCTAACCAAGATCAATTCTTAGATGACGATCGCTTCGCTAATCCACAAATCACCGAGAAATTTTTCATCAAGACACCATATGTATTTACACTAAACATCTTCGACCGAAAGTTTGATCACATTATTTCAGAAGCACTAACAAACACACAAGCATACGAAAGTTTTAAAGAACGCTTCCAAATCTTTTCACTAACCTTTCATTTCCTTGCACCACACGAAAGAGATTTACACTGCTCACACGATATTATGTTGCGAACTAAACAAACACATACATACAGTTACTATCGTTTCATCCAAAATCACTTTGACCTCCACACACCCTCTAGACAACCACACCATCGTTTTCAATTCATCAATTCAAAATACACTTCACCGTATTTCCTAAATTTCACATATTGTATTAAAGACACTAACCTCCATGGTATTCTCCGTAATTATGACCCCATAACCCAAATGTACATTTTCTGCCCCATCACCAAGACCTTCAACGCAGAAGAATCCCGACCCTTCCTTATCCCGCACGAGTTTGTACAGCCTATAGAAATCCCAATTTTAGAATTCATCCACAATACTAAATTTAACCACAAATTATATAACTTAATCCAAAACACACCTTATGAGTTTGCAGTAGGCACTGAAGAACTAACCACTATTAAGGCACTTCAATTGCTTTGGCCACTGCTTCAAACTAAAAATATCATCCGCATCTTAGCTAAACTACTAACAACTTCAGAACTAATTCACGACATCTTCCCCCACGGTTTTTTCCCCGACGACTAACAGGTAAGTATGAATTAAATGAATATTACTAACTAATTAAAATATTGAAAAACTCACCATTCTTTATTCATGTTTTCTTTAGATTTTTAGCCTTCATCTTCGATCATCTGAAAAATTCACAAAAGAAAAATAAAAAATAGCAAACTTCTTCAAAACTGTTTAAGACCCTATTAAACTTTTGCACCAACAATTAAATAAATATAATACCAATGCAGTAAATTAATTTATAATATTAATTTTCCCCCAAAAGCAGTAAATCTACATATGATGAAAATTTGTATCTTAAAATTCCCCCATACCTAGCAGTAAATTTCCAAATTCTATGCAGTAAATTAATAAAATGCAATTGCAGTACTAACCTTTTGATATTTTCATTCATTCGCACAGAAATTCTATCCACACTCGCACAGCTCGCCCACGAAGAATTGTTTAAAATAATGAATTTCAGTTTCAAGTTTTCACACTCAACAACTCTAACATAAAATAACATGTTTCAAACTTTCCTTTAACCCGGTTGGAAAGGAATCATATACTAAACAAAACTAACCAACGCAGCTTACTAAATACCACAAATCTTAGAATAACAGCATGACTAAGAAAAGGAAACCAACGGTACCCAAACCGGATTAACCCAGTTTAAAACTGGATAATTTATTCTTTTGAAGACTATTACAAAGTCTTAGAAAGAAATAATAAAACACAAAAAAGTCGAAAGACAAACCCATACCACAAACAATTTGATTTTTAGTAAAAGTACATAACCAACAAAACATAAGTAAAACCACAACAAACCCAACATAAAACGTTGTCACATAACAGGACCCCTCACAAAAACCGCATGAAATCATACTCCCACACCTGGCCTAACCCACCAGGAAAGGACGTCCTGAGCATGCTCTATAGCCGGCCTAACCCACCGCGCTACATCCACGCTTTGTGACCACACCTTTATTTTTAATAAGAGCTACTCAAGGGTGAGTAACTCTTCAAAATAACCGAACTAAAACAAAAAGCTTTTGTGAAAACAACTAACAAAAATCATTATTAAAAAAATACTAAACTAATAAAAGTTTTATAAAATGTAAAATCACATGATGCAATATATAGATCAGAATACAACACCAAGGACGAACATCAAAAGACAAGACGACCTCACTACATTCGAGAGAGAATGACCAACTACAATCGATATGCCGCTCACAATCACAACTCAAAGGATTTAGAGTACGACTTGACTTCGCAGAAAAGGACTTCATTGAACTAGACCAATGACCACCTCGATGTTCAAGTATACGTACAGATCCGAGTAACCAGGCATCCCCTCCACGCACAATCTCCACGCCATTCCCAAGCTAGATCAAACACAAAAGAAGTTCTCTCCGAAGAACAGAAAAACCTGACATAGCCAACCATTCTGAAACCAGAATTGATGCTGTTGCAGAGACTCAGTCGTTGTCACAAGAAGAACACAACGTCTTGTGTCCTTAACTCCAGCTCCCTGGAACTTCCTTAACAAAAAGGAAACAAAAGAAAAATGATGTTCGCCAAATACCAACGTCCATCATCCATCCTTGAATTACAGAAGAACTGTTCTAAAAAACTCTGTAAAACCCGGATGGGTGGAACCTGATCTAAACTATATTTTATGATTGGATAAATTAAATGTTTTACCAATGTAAAGTATTTAATATTAACCAATCATGATCCATCTAACTAACAACCCACTTATTTGTAAGTGCTGAAGTTACTTGTAATTTCAGCACCAGAGAGATTTGAATTTAACTTAGAAATTAGTTGGACTCTCCCGAGCACTTCAGCAGCCGCAATAAACCAGTATACCCTAGATCTATTGAGCCTAGCAGAGACTAGTTAAACAACCTGAGACTAGATAGTATAAGAGTAAGATTAGGATCGGTATTAGACTAAGAAGTTGCACGAATCTATCCGGCCGAAAATAAGATAGCGTGACGAGCAGACGGTGTACCCTATCCGAAATTACTCTATGAGTTATACACCCCAGACCTAACTCATCGTGACACCCCGTTGATATTCCGCTAGCTTTTAGAGATCGAAATCGTTCTACTGAGACATCGGCTAGCGTGCAGATTGAACTGGCAGACACGTTTTTTTTTTCTTTTGCACGATTCAGTTGCACGGGGACGAAGTTCGATCTTTGGCTAGTTTTTGTTTGAAAACTGGCCTATAGTCGTTTTTTAATGCTCAGCTGAAAAATTATAGTCTCTTCAAGTTTTGATTGGCCGTTTATATCAATATTCGTCGACATTTTGAACTGAGTTAAAAAAGAACCGCAAACCAGGTTCGATTTTGTAAACTTTTTCACTCATAGGTTTTATTATTTCGTGTAAATGACCCAAAAACAAGAAAATTTAAATAATAGCTATTCGGGTAGAAAAATTCTGTGAAAAACTACTGTTTTTTTTGGAAATGAGATTAAAAACTTGTCGATTTGAGGGAAAGGCAGAGTAGAGTGATCAACTGCAAAAATAATAAGGAGGAGAACAACTTTGCTTCCTTCAACTAGCAAATACTAAAATCACTTCATTTCTTTTAGCCAAATCTTCTCCATAGAGCAAAACCTTTCCCAATTTTTGGGTCAATTTGTTACTGCTAGTTTTCTCCAAACTGTAATGGCTTATGTTTGGCTTATTTTGTACTATTTCATTAGCGACTGCCTGCTTTTGCTCAAAAATTTAAATTGAATTTTTTTATCGCTATAATAAACTTTCACAAGTATGGAAAATGCCTATCATACAGTTTCATAGTAGGGAAAAAATGCTTATCATACAATTTCATAGTATGGAAAAAATGCTTGTCATACAATTTCATAGTATGGCAAAATGCGTATCATGCTATTTTCATACAGTTTTGATGAGAAAGATAGTGATAAAAAAGCTTTAAAATTAGTTCCAGAGTATGGAACAAATGCTTGTTATAAAATTTCCTAGGATGGAAAAATGCTTATTTTGCTACTTTCATACTTTTGGTCTAAGAAATTGTATGAAAAAGTACGATGAGCATTTTTGTCATAAATGACAGGAATTTTTTGACAACCCGGGTTACTTCGCCGTATTATTGAGTGAAAAGATTTTTTTGCTATTTCGATTGCAAATAGCAAATCTTCACTCCAAGTAAAAATTGTTTTGTTTTTTATACAGGAACGGGAATTTTTCCTAATATAGCTGGATGGAGGTCGTGGGATGGACACAAATATGTATGCGCAGATGATTTCCATCCATCATCGACTACAAATGAACAAGACTGTTTGGTCTACTCTTTCGGAATATCCGATGATTTGTCGTTCGAAGACGCAGTAGCTGCACAAGGTTAAACAGTTCTACCGTTTATTTTTTCTGCTCGTTCCAGTCACCCCCCCCCCCCCCCATTTGATTTTCAGTTTTGAAAGACTAGTTTAGGTTGTCATATGGAAATGAAGTTTGGCATAGTGAACTAGGTAACAAATTTGTATGAGATTTTTTTGAATTATGTGTGAGTGGGGGGCAATAAAAAGTGAAATGCGGTTCTTTTCGTTTACCCTTTCAAAAAACACTCCTTGCCTCCTCCCTCTCGACCATCGTTTTTTTTTTCAAGAAAACTTTTTCACTTCTCCGATGACAAATAAAATTGGCACATTGATTATTATCTCGATGGTTAACAAATACGGTCTATATAAACATCTGGGTTAACCCAAACTTTGAAGTTTTGTAAGCCCAAACGTTGAAGTCTAGGTCTGTGGGGGAAGTGATCGAGGTGCTAGGGGTCGACGACTAAATTGATGCCATGTAATGATGAGAGTCGAAGAAAATTGTGAAAAGGTTTTTTTGTTAACCTTACAAACCTCCTTCGCATATTTCGCCAAAATTTTTTCCCTCGAAACAAGAAATTTTTGATTTAACTGAATTTTAATGGCATTCGAGAGACATTGAATTTCAATTCAAAAGAGCTTTCATATCAGGAAATTTATCGAACTTGATTATCTTATCATAAAATTTTGCTCATTTTCCTTAGTTTATCAAAAACAGGCCGATTGCAAAAGTAAGGAGCTCCTTACTCGAATTTGTTTCGCTCTCAAATTCGCAAAGAAAGATAGGCTGCTTTTGTTTTTAAATAAGACATTATTTTTTTTTGCAGGTTGCCATGTATTCGCCTATGATCACACAATTAAGCGACTACCTTACGCCAACAATAGCCATAGAATCCACTGGAAACCAATCGGACTGGGTGTGCAAAACGGAGAAAAATTGAAGACTTTAGGCACTCTAATTGACAAAAATGGTCACACAAATAGAACCATAAATTACCTCAAAGTAAGTATCCATCATTAAAATTTTGCTCCAACTTTTTTAAGTATTCCATTTTTTGTTACTGAGTCATCTGACTACAGAGATTTTCGAGCCATAAATATGCAGGGTACTTTTGATGAAATTTCTTGAGACAAGTTATAATGTCAGTAATTTTTTAGTGAGTATTTGTCATAATTTTTTGTTTTGATGCTTTGTTTTGCCAAAGAAGCGCTCGTCGGAAAGTGCATTATATTTACTTTGGACTTTCATGAAAAATTTTGGTTCGCAAAAACTATTGGCTTATAAAGCGAATTTTTCTGTCCGCAGTTTGACCCAAATATGTGTGTATTCTCAAAGTGTGCAGTTTTAGTGAAATAATTTGATATAGATAATAATTTTGAACTACTTTTTTCCTGTATTTTGACATCTTGTTAAAGGTTTTTGTTGAAAGGAAAAGTGTTTTAAATGAACAAATATACAGTTTTTTAGAAGTTAAATTTAAAAACAGCTAGCTAATTCAAGAAAAAAGAACTGCGAGCCAATTCTAGGCAGGATTTTTCTCTAAGTTATGGATAAACTTTGGTTTTTCGAATCTAAAGTTTTGCTAAAGTTTTGCTTTTCACCAATAGTTTAACAAAACCAAATTTGTCAAAACTAAAATAGAGTAAAAAAAGTAGCTAACATGAGATACTCAGAAATTAAGCAAGCAAAAATTTGATTTTCAAAAAGCGCGCTATATACAATTTTAAATACAAAATTCTTAAATTTTTTTTCAATTTTTCATCTAAATCTTCCGAATATTGTAATTGTTTCTTTTTTGTTGGAGCAAGTGAAATGAACCAGCGCCAAAAATATTTGATGTTACGAAATATATTACAAGATTCCTTAATACAAAATTCCATTGAAAAACTTTTGACAGTAAATATACGGTCCGAAAGGTATTCACGGGCTAGTCCCGGAGTGCAAATAAAAGTTAATCTGTGATTTTCATCAAAATAAAAACTACCAAAAATCGTGCACGATCGGATTGTTTAATATGCAATGAGTATTCCAGATTATCATATACTATTGATATCTTTAATTTAGAGAAAAGCAATTTTGGCTAACTTTTGTTGATTCTCTTTTTTCTGTGTCACAGCTGAAATTTTCTATAAAACTTAAATCACAGATAGTCTCAAATTAAGTAAATAATCAATTCTTAGAAGAATTAAAAACTCTTCATACAAGAGCACAAAAATTTCAGGTTGGTAAGCTCTGTTTTATCAAAATTTTGCTTCATAGCATAGAAGACACAGGGATATTCAATAGTATGATTTTCTATAACTTTCCTTTCACTATAAGCGTAATATTACTGCTTCAAAAATAGCCTCAAAAATTCAAAGAGACACGAACAAGCTGCTCCAAATATGCAGTTTTCACATTAATCTGGCATAAAAGTTAGGTTTAATTTATATTTTAACCAAATGTGCGTGTTACTGTGCAAAATCAGAGAAGGCTCTAATATGAAGAATTTAAAAGTAGAAATTTTAATTGTTTATAGATTTTTCACGATGTAAGATTAATTATTCAAAACTCTTTCAAAGACGAACTCACCGATAATTCTCAAAAAAAATCGAAAACCGTATTTCAATCTCCGTTAGAGTTAGATTATGTGAAAACACCAAGTCAACATTTGAATTAGTGTTTTTGAGCGTAAAGAAAAACGATTTGCACCAGTCATTTGCTTTGATAACTAAAAATTTATTAAAATCAAAATTTTATGTTCGTCTCAGCCTAATCAAAATTAGAAGGCTTTTATAAATTTGACACTCGACAGCAAAATAAACTGTTTAGAGCCATAAATTTTCAAGGAAAGCCTGAAAACAGCTATTTTCGATTTTCTTCTCTTTCAGTAATTGGACAAAAAAAATTGGTAAAAACATGCAACAACGATCCTTTCTCAAGTTTTGATTGAAATGTCATCTGCAAAACTTGAAGCTTCCAAGGGAAAAAATGGCTTTATTAAGAAGTAACCACCTGTTCCGTTTCGTGCCGCTAGACTTACTCTCAGAAATGGTACAATCGAAGAAAAAAATATATTAGAGGTCTTCAATTTAAAAAAATTGATTGATTTCAAATTTTTGGTTTTTTGAGAGTTTTCTTTTAATTTGACTAGTGTTCCAATTTTTTTGTACTTTTTTAGCATCTGAACGGTTAATTTAACGTATTTTTTGTCAATGTCTTTTATGATTAAAGGTCTGGTTATGGCACCAAGTAAAAATTTTTGGGTTTTGTAATTTTTTGTATTGTGTTATATCTGCAGGTCGACGTGGAAGGTGCCGAGCGAGAAGCCATGGTAGAATGGATCAAATCGTAAGTTTTCACAGGTTGTTTTTCTGTTTTTTATGATCATTGTTACGATAAAGTATAAAAGTGCACAAAAAATCAAATTTTGTACCAAAAGAAATCATGATGTGCTCCCCGTAGTAACTCATTAGAAGAAATATTTAAATCGTAAACTCAGATGTACGATTATTTTTTGCCTTTTGGACCAATTTCAAAGTAAATAGTTAAAAAATTTGATCAGTTTTTATAACAACCATTTTTGCAATAGACAAGGTTAGCAAACAGCCTGAGAAGCATTACCTTTACTCGTACTGAAAAGAATGATTCACATTAGATTTTATTTTGACAAGGTATGAAAGATCTGAAAAAAATGAGTTGAAAGAACCAACTTCAACCAGCTTTATATCAATTTGAATCCTTGATTGACACAACACTCGTTCCATTTCTATGCAAGTTTGTAGCTGAATCTCAAATTTTAATTTTTTAATTGGTTCTCATTTAAATCAGTTTCCACCCTCTTTTCCGCATGCTAATTTTACACAGATTGTGTTCAGATTTTCTCGATTATCAAACAATAAAACAAATGGAAACAGGATTATAAGAAAAACTTTTCAATTAATTTTCTTGGTTGATGCTTGGGTTGAAAACAATTCATGAGCTAGCTATTGCTAAGAGTTATTAATGTAATGCAAAAAAATGAATGATGATAAACTGAATGGTATTAGCCGAAATTTTTTATTTTTAACGCGAATATTTTTCCTTTTTCGAAAATGAAATTTATTTTTAGGATTTCCCAGCGGAATAAAAACTTTACCTATTGATCCAGTTTTCTCAAGTTGGGTTCAGGTTATCAATAAAGCGCCAATCATAAATTGTTCTATAAATTCAAAGAGCTCAATGAGCATCTACTTTTTTTTTGAAATTTGAAAGTTTTTGCAGAAAGTGTCAGTATTTTCTTATGTTTATTTACGTGCTACAAAATTGTTTCAAATTGAATTGAAGCAAGCTATATAAAAATTGACTTTTAAGACCTTAGTTTTGACATTATCAGTAGATAAATTTCATTTGCCCAAAATTTATCTAGACCAAATAAAAGGCAGTCGGAAAAATCAGGTCTTCGCTTCAGCTAAATGTTCAATTATTTACAAAAGTTGCGCCCAGATCTTTGATTATCACAGTGCCATTTATCGAAATTTGACATTATTTTTATTGTCATTAACCAGGAAAACTCCAAAAGGCGCCTCAAATTTCAGAAATTGCGGTAAGAAACGCACCGCGAATAATTCTTAACTTTTTCTTGAGTACAGTTTTTTAGTATTTAAGAAGCAAATTTCCCTGAGTACATTTTTCGAGTTTATAGGAATTGAAAAATTTTTTTTCTACCGTAAAAACCTGTTTTAATCCTATCTAAATCAATTTACCTGAGTAAAAAAGCTACTATAAACTAATTTGTATGCAATTTATTATCTGATTAAAATTTGAAATAGTAAAAAAATTTATCAACCTTGTCACTGCGGTTGTTTCAGCCTCGATTAATTTGAAAATATCTGTTTGTTATAGAAAAACCTTCTCTGAACAGAAAATGTAAAACTGTTGTATTTTTTTCCCAACTATTTTAGAAATTCATCATTTATCTTGTATCTCACCTAGCAAATCCCATTATTTATTCAGTTTTTGAACTATTTAAGGCGACATAAAACTTTCATTGCTTAATTTTTAAAAATCATTATTCACAATTTTCCATTATTTACACTTGTTTCTGAGGATGCTTACAAAAAAGCTCAGCTCATGTAAGTAAACGCTTATCTGCCTTAAGAAAAAAGTTATAACTTTTAGTTGCATTTAATACTTATGAACGGTTAATCTTCACACTAAGTTAATCTATAAATCAAAAAGTTTGGTTTCATTTTTTCGAGTTTGAGGAATTCTTTCTATATCTTTTCAAAAACTTAATGAATCACTGAAGTTAACTTTGATTTCCTGGGAATGTTTTCCAACTTGGGTGCAATTTTGTTTGAGAAAGATTTTGAAACAAAAGATTTAGAAAGTAAATAAGCCGAAGAAAGTTTTTGTCGGGAGCAAAACAAAGGGAGTCCATAACCTGTATTGATCTTATTCAGGGACAGTTTGAGAAAGGTGCAACAAATTGGAATCGAATTTCACCAAGTGTCAATCTATATTCGAACCTACGTCCAAATGGTCCAGCAGCTATACGAACTTGGCTTCAAAACGATAGCGTGGGATCCAAATATGACCACAAGACCTAAAAGTGGAGAGCCTTTTAATTACTTCGAAATTGTTTTTAGAAGAAGTGAACTCAACTGCAAATAATTACTCAATTTCATGGCCATTTTACAGTCAAATAGTGGCAAAACTGTTAAAGTTATCATCTTTTGCAGGCAATACTGTTACTACAATGAATAAGTGCTCGTTTTTAATAATTTTGACTCCGAAATTATTCATGGATACTAAAACATTCATGAATAAACTATTTAAGTTTTGTGCGCGACTACATGTTTTTTAATGAGCATGATCCAGATAAAATTCAAAGTTCAAACATCTTGATAAAAGTCATATTCCACTCTTGATTTCATACATTTTTCTTTTTCGATTTTTTAGTTTAAAAATTATAGTCCAAAGTTTATTAACAAATTATTTTATCGTCAAGCTGAATAACATGCGAGTCAGAATTTTGTGTCCAATTTTGTCAGAAAAACTGTCGCAACTTGGCTACCCAATTGATGCATGCGAATAACTTATTTAAATCTGAAAATTTTGTTTCAACGATGTACATCTTTGTATCGATAGAAGTCTTTACATATGACTATAACTGTGACAGCTCCAAATTCTGCTTATGGGTACCCACTATTTCTTCCGAGTATAAAGTAAAATATTAAATTGTTTTCAGGATACCATATGGTAAATTGAACCTTATTTTCATGGAAAAACAAATGCTGTAAGTTTTGAATAACAGGCCTCAGTGCCAAAAGACATCGCCTGTTTTTTGCAGGGGGGGGGGGGGTGAAAACTGTAGAGTACATGTTTCTAAAAAGGTTCTGCTGCAAGTGCGCAGACAATCAAACTGCTGCTCTGAAAAGTTCCGTATCTTTCATCATTCTTTCCCGCACAAACGAACTTTGACTGATAAAATTTAAAGTTTTCAGCACACAATGTCCCCAATTGATACTCGGAAAAATTTTGCTGGTGCGGCAAAGGGGCTGAAAAAAGTTTTTTTTGTTGGATTTCTTGAAACTTTGGATGTCCCGAAAGGATATTTGTGCTTAAGAAAAAAATTTAACTCCTGAAAATTATGTTCAAAGGCTCAAGCGGCAAGTTTTGGTCAAAAAATTTGTGTTCTAGCTGACTAGCTGAGTCAAAATTTTGAGTCAAATTTGTCCTAGGAAAACTGTCGTCAATAGGCTGCCTATTAGGTGCATGCAAATTATTGGCTTGAGTTCCCGGGTAGACAAAAAAGCTGGTCATACAATTCTCATATTTTGGTCCATACATTTCATACATTTAAAATTTAGCATGAAAATAATATGATTAACATTTTCTCATATATGAGATATGTAATACTAGCATTCTTCAATAAATGAAATGTATGATCATACATGAGAATTCGAATCATTATTTATATCATCTGAATGTCGATAGTAGTCTTTAGATATGGCTAAGAGCGTGGTGAGTAAAAAGGGGTCACTTTAAGCCCTCAAATCTGATTGCCAAACTCATCACCCGAAGATATAGTCAGCTTATAGCAAAGTGTACCAAGAATGCCTTATTTTTCTAGCATGAATACAATTTGCTAATTGTACTTATGTTTTACGGGATAAGATATCATCTGACTTTAAAAACGTGAACTGAGCCACAAAAGACAGCGTTTAGTTTTTTGTAGGCTCGACCTGAATTTTTTTCGTGTATTAAGTTGTCGTACAAAAATGATAGTCGAAGTTCATTATATTTAAAATAACTTATTACACTGAGTCCGTTTCTAGAAAGTCAAATGAAAAAGATGAAACTTTCAAGTCATAGGAGGAGGATTTGGTTCTCCTTTTTCTTTCCCCAACCGGTACCCCCTTACCTCACACAAGCATCAATTTTATGATGTAACGAGTGATTTTGCTAGGTTAATTATGAACAGCAAATATGTCTGCCATTGCCTATTTAGTCTGTACATCAGTTTTCGTAGCAACGAGACAATGTGAACAATTTCTTGCTGGTGAAAAAAAGAGCAAGAGTCGGCAAAAAGGCTATTTCAAGTATGTTTGATTTTCATTTCTGATCTTGTAGGAGCATTCGTTGCAAAATTAAAGTGTTTTATAAGGATGATTTCCAACCTCCAGTTTGTCGTAGAAATAATGACAACTGCAAATGCATGTGACATATGACCTTTTTCTAAAGGGGACAAGTAGGGGACAAAGCATAAGGGAATAGCTTTCACATTGACGAAGACACGTTGCAAGTCTAAACTGTTAAAGCCATCGTTTCAAGATAAAACAACAAAAAATTTGTACTTAAAGCGAGGTCACCCAGATGGTGATACAAATCTCTGCGTGATTATTATTTGACATCCCGGGTTGACCTCCATAGACCAGAAATGCTAATCATACAATTCCATAAACTAAGTCTATGAAAAAATACTACTCATACAATTTTCATACATTTTGCTAAAATGTTGTCATCGAATTTTCGAAGAACTTTTCTCTTGTTTTCGCATAAATTTTGGTGTATCGTACTAATTAAAAAAGGAAAATTTTTTGTCAAAAAAAATGCTAATCATACAATTTCCATATATGGAAATTGTATGACTAGCATTTTTTTGATGGCGACAACAAACATTTTTCCAAGTATTTTTGAAATTGCCCCCAAAATTTTTTTTGTGTTTTTTTTTTCAACCTTAAAATGATTTTCGTACTCAAACAAACATTTTTTTGAAAAAAAAGTTTTGCATGCAAAATTTAATTTTTTGTGTGTATAACGTAGTCCTGGATATACTAATATTGAATTTTTTTCCATTTCTCTTGATAAATTTTTTCAAAAAAGCTCAAGACTCTTCTTTTTTTTGTATGGCATGTTTTTGTATGCCTTGATCAATGTCTGGTAATTTGAAAATTCAAAGTTTAGAAATAATCATCTTTGAAATTTTTTTGCCAAAATTTAAAAGTTTGATACTTTCGTTATATTATTTGCGTGAGACAGAATTACGACATTGCAGACTGTTTCCAAAGCATTTTTAATGCGTGACGGCCAAACCTTTGGTTACTACATTTGAGTAACCAAGGCTTATGTCATTTGTGTTCGGTTACGAACACAACCAATAAATTTTGAGAAATTAAAATGTAAAAAATAAATATTTTTAGTTTATGGAAAAATTCTAGTCATACAATTTCCATATATGAAAAAAATACTAATCATAGACCTTTCATGCAATTTTCTGTACGTATGGAATTGCATGGAAAGTCTATGACTAGCATTTTTCCATATATGGAAATTGTATGACTAGCATTTTTGGTCAACCCGGGATATGTGTTATTTTTAGTCAGCTCTGTTTTTGAGATCTTGCACGGCAGTGGCTATGTATCTTTTTGTTAAAAAGATAGACAAGTTGAAAACAAGATGAATCTGGCGCAAATGATTCTCTGTATTTTTTTTATATTTCAAGCGCGAGAAAAATAAAGATGATTGGAAGGGACAAAATTGAGTTAATTTGAGGTTGCATGAAATTTTAATTATTTGTTAGCTCACCCATATTGATTTTACTACTGTACAGAAAAATATTATATCCAGTAATGCTTCGTATTATTGACTGATATATAACAAAAAATACGTAAACAAAATGTGCGTGGAGTTTCGGCAGAGTTATCAAGAATTTATTTTGCGAATTTCACCCGAAAATTTATCTCAGTAACGAAGTTTTTTCGCTTCTTAATGCAACAAAGTCTACGCTAAAATTATCGACTAACTTGCTGGCAAAATACATCAAATAGAGCCAATTATGTAGCCAAACAAAGATTAAGTAAAGCATTCTTGATAAAATTTTCGCAAAATTTTTCAGAATAGTTTTTAAATCGAAGTTTTGCATTTGGTGTTGCAAAACTGACAGTTTTGATTATCAGAAAAAATTGAGAACACATATTTTTCTTAAAAAATTGTTAGGCGATTCCGAAAGCCCCTTTTGGTAAACTTGTCAAGAATTGAACTGGTAGTGTTGAGATAATTTTCAATTGAGACTATATATCCCTGAAATGATCCGTTTTGGGGCAATATACTGGGCCCGATTTTCGCGTTAAAAACTGCAATTATATCAATTCGGCTAAACTTTCAGCAATTTTTTGTCTATTTGGCTTAATCATTCTTGTTGGTGTCTTTTTTACATCAAAAACATGTGTTATTTATTATTTGGGTTTTGTTGTAACAAATGGAATTTACAAGCTGGTGAAATAAAATAAAAAGTTCCACGAGAGACGTTAAAATAATGGTGTTACACCAAACTTTGTTTAACAAAAAGCAAAACATAAAATTGAAGAAGCATAGCTTTGTTTGAAAAACATGACGAACAAATACATTTGAAATTGTATAATAAAAGTCAATGATCTCAAAAGAAAACTTTTGTTAAAACAAAAAACTGTTATTTTAGAGATATGTTTTTAAAGTTTTTCACAGCTTCTGCTCAGGAACTAAACAAAGTCTTACAATAGAAAAGCTATACAAGATAAAGTTTTCTTCTCAATATTTTTAATAACCCGCACTGGAGTTCCATGGATAATAGTTAAGAATATTGTCATTTTATAGTTAGTATCGACAAAATTACAAAGAGAACGGATTAAAATCCAACAAAAAAGGGTTGTAATCCTAGAACTTTTTATATCAATATAATCCATTAAAATAGGTTAAAATCGATTATTATCCACTAAAAATGGATCATAATCATTATAATTTTTAACAGTTTACCTCTCGTCAGTTTTTCCCTCCCCCCTCCGTTAACGTGGGCGGGGTAAAAATGGGGGGAGGGTGGAACAAAAAAAATTGGGTGGACGGTGAGAGGGTTAAAATGGAGTACGGGGTAAATAGGTGTTGTACACACTGAGTAACCCCCCTCACCCGTCCCCGTTCGTTGGTAAAGAAACTGGGGGAGGGGGGTTGAACTGTAACTTGGGGTGGGGATTGGGTTTGGGGGTAAACTTCAGTAAACATGGGGGTGGGCGTAAAGATAAACGTAGGGGAGTGAGGGAGGAGGGGATTTGGGCAAATGCGGATGGGGGGCAAAGTGAGGGGGGTGGTTAATGTGAGTAGGCCTTGTGTACATGCCAGAAATGTTGCATGTTTTTAAATTTTGAAAACGTCGTTGGTCGGTTAATTATCATTACTTAATTGCCATCCCCGATTACTTAACTAGTTTAAAGCCGAGCGAATCAGATATGTTTTTTGTACTATTCGTT